CACGGAAGAAGGGGACAGACACAACTGTGGCTCTTCTTCTGAGCTCCCAGGCACAGTGTCGATTCCAGGACAGCTTAGCTCATGGCCACCGGCCACCAGCGCCATCTTTCACAGGCCTTCACTACTGTCTTACCCAGCAGAGGGCATATGAGTTTTTTTCTTTTTTAAATTTAATCATTTTTAATTAATAAAGATTAAGTAGCCCTGACCTGTGTGGCTGAGTTGGTTGGGCATCAGCCTGCAAAGTGAAAGGTGGCTAGTTTGATTCCTGGTCAGGACACATGGCCAGTTTTCAGGTTCAGCCCCTGGTTGGGGCGTGCATGAAAGACAACAGATAAATGTTTCTCTCCCTTTCTTTCTCCCTCCATTCCTCCTTCTCTAAAAATAAATAAATAAAATCCTTTTTTTTTAAAAAAAAAGAGTAAAGCAAGTTTTTTTTTCTCTCTTGGTGTATGTTCTTATAAAAGGATCAAAATCCTATCATTTGTCTCTAGTTGTAGGAATCAAAGACAATGGACTATTACAAGAGTTGCATAAGGGATGAGGAAAACTCAGTAAAATGTACAGAACACACCTAAAGTGGCTGATGCAATAAAGAGACAGAACATCCAAGGCTGGTCAAAGCCCTAATGGTCAATGCACACCACACCAGGGATCTAACAGACTGACCTCCTTTCTCTTGCAGCAAGACCTAAGAACCTTGAACTCAAACATCACAAACCTGGCTCATCAACTTCTCCTGTAAGTCCTATGTATTCTGCCATCCATGGTCAATTAATTTAAATGTTCTACTGTGGACTAGTGCTACTGCAACCTCAGTGATTTCCCTGCCCCCACTTATTACCATTCACCAATCTTCCACCAAAGTTGATTTTCTAAAACACAGATGTGACCATGCTGCTCCACTGTACCTATAGGGTAAAACATTTGCTCCCCGGATGGCTGATGAGCCCTTTTTGATCTAGTGCTCATCTGCCTGACTAGCGTCATCTTGGTGCCAGCCATGCTCTGGCATGTCATTCTGGCAGCATGCCATGCCCATCCATGCCTGTGTCCCATTGCACATGCCAATCATTCCTCACTTGATTGTCTTATTTGTCCCACCATTGAGCTCAAAGCTTCCCAGGCTATGGAGTATCTTTCACTCTATAGCTCTTGGTAGTATATGCTTCCACTAGAGCATGTATCAAACTACACTGCTTTAGAGACACAGCCCCTGAAATTAGATGTATTCGGGTTCAAATCCCAATTCTACTACTTACAGGCCATGAAATCTTGGGTAACTAGTCTCTCTGAGCTCCAGTTTCCTCATATGTGAAATGGGGAGTATAATTTCTAATTATAGGACTCACATCACCATTCAAGATTTTGTATATATAACTATATATGGTACAGCCTGACATAGATGATGACTTAATGACTAAGTCGATGGATGAATGAATGAATGAGTGAATGAAAGGGGGGGGCACAGTCTTACATAACCAAAAAAGTCAATGCTGGGAAATGATATGAGCATTTTAGGATTAATAGTTACATCTTTGCTAATCAGGAAGCTGTCCTCAACCTTCTGTACCAAGTATACAGATACATATACATGAATTTTTGAGTGTGTAAACACAAGATAGCTATATATATGTATATATATACATATATATTATCTAGTTTCTCATATAGTATTTACATAAAAGTTAATAGGTAAGTACAAAAGTACCTAGAGAGATATCAGTAGGGTGTTAACAATGGTTATCACCGAAAGGGGAATATGAATATTTTTAAGTTTATTTTTGTGTATACAAAATATTAAAATCTGTTTAGAAGGACCTGCACTATTTTTTCAATAAAAAGAAAACAATAAAGTTATTTAAATTTTTTCCGAGTCCTCTACAATAGCAACATGTGAGATGCAACTAAAGAAACAAAATGTTTTAATCCAATTGCCAGGGTCAATATTTTTTAAAGCACTCTGTTGGAGGAAGGGCCTGAGAGGCAGAGAGAAGGCAATGGGCATGAGTCCAAGTACTCTGTGGATTTGTAGGAAAGCTGAGTCTTGAAACTCTCACTTTCAGGGCCCAGGCAGCCCCACTTTCAAGGGAGGAATGTACCAATGTCAGTACGGGAGGGAGCTCTTGGTCAGTGCTGCCTGGGGTAGGGGGAGTGCGGGGGCAGATGGGGAGGGTGAGGGCGAGAGTGCTGGGTCCTGGGTCAGAAGAACTAGGTTCAAATCCTAGCTTTGACTTCATTTATCTGACCCATCTTGGGGAGGTCATGTAAGATTTCAATTTCTTTATCCATCGGTGATAATAATGACTTCCCACTAGGGCTGCTTCAGAGTAAAGGAGGGTTAGAAAGTACTTTGTTAACTGTCCAGCCCTGGGCAAACATTAGTTATGATTACTTTATCATGCTGCTTCCCGAAAAGCAAGGGGTAGGAGTTAGCATTGGCTCCCAAAGCGGATTTCCCTGCAATGGCAACATCCAGATTATGCAAGGATGAAAGGTCAGCTTTCTTCATGTCTGCTTTTCCAGACCACATGGAGGAAACTCTGAGCCTCCTAATGCAGGTCCGTCAAGGGCTGGCTGCTGACAGCCCTGGAGGCCCGGAACCGTGCTGTGTAGACAACTGGTTAGCGTGGGAGGAAGGCTTATGAATCTTTCTGTTCTATTTTGTTTGCATCTCAAAACAGTTGAACATATGAAACAAATATCTCCTTGCACATAATGGGCTTGAACATATGCTGCCTTGCTTTAGGGTCTGCAAATCAAAGAATGTAAGTGGCGGTTTTCATTCCCCATCACACTCTCTGAGAGTTTTTGGCTTCTTATGCACCAGGCACCGGCTGTACAATTTCTGACACCTGCTATCTATTCTCTCGCTAATCAAAAAAGTTTAGATACATTTGCTCGAAATGTCAAGAGTAGCATCTAAAGATGAGATTTCATTGGCTCCACTGTAGGAGCAGGCTATCGGGAATGCACGAAAATGCCTGCACAGATCAGTGGTTGTGCAATGTGTGGCAGTTTCTATCCTCTCCATTCAGTCCCCCCATTTCAACCTACGCTACACCCAGACTGTTTCTGAATTGAAGACTTGAAAGGGACTGTATAGATCCCTTTGACAACACCCTTACTTGACAGATGATGAAAAGGATACCCCAAGAGGTGACATGGCATACCCAATACCATATGGTGAATTAGCTTCAACAGAAGAAGGGAATAACCAAAGCTCACAGAGGAAGCTGGGTCCATGCCCATATACCCAGGCATCTGGCCAAAGCAATTAATCCTGTGAAAAATAACTAAAAAACCCGTGGCTTTATGTGAAAAAAAATTTTTTTAAGATACCAATACCAAAGCCCCTGCCCAACAGATTCTAGTTTAATTGGTCTGAAGTGTGGTCTAGTCCTTGGCACTTTAAAGCACTACAGATGATTCTAATGTGCAGCTAGGAGTGAGAGCTGCCAGTATAGAATGTTACACTCGGTTGAGAGTCTGATAGAATATAGTAGAAAAAATCCTGGACTGGGAAACCAAAGATCCAAGTTTAGGTCTGAGCCTTTCAAAAACCATCCGTGTGGCTTTGGGTAAATTGTTACCTGCTTTTATCCTCACTTTTCCGTAAATCCTTACCTTATCCAAAATCTGAAGACCAGATGAGACAGTGTCTATAAAAAAAAAGGGTTTTTTAAACTCTGAAATGCCCTTCTATGTGAGGCAAGACTCCTTGAAAACTTCTAATGGAGCACTTTTTCAATAGCACTTTTCCAATTTAACAACCGAATTCAAGTCAGCCAATATCTATTGAATGCCTAATAGAAAGCAGATTTTATGCTAGGTACCGGGCATACAAATATGAATTAGACATAGATTCTGTTCCTTAAGAAACATTCAGTCTTGGGAGGGATGGTGGACTTTTAAACAAGGAAATGTTACAAAGACAGGAAGAGATGTAGCCCCAAAGCAGAGAGACAGCACAAAGGAAGGGATGCCTACTCTGGGGATGTGGGCTAGGAGAGAGGAGGCGATGTCTGACTCAACTGGGGCAATCTGGTCCCCTGGGTAGAAAACAAGGGGAAGGGACATTTGGGGTTAAGGGAAAAGTAAACACAAAGACACAGAACTGCTAATCGGCCCTGGAGTTTGGTATGACTGAGGCGCTGGGCGGTAGGGTGGGGTTCAAGCAGTGACAGATCAATCAAATTGTCATTCCATGGAGATGGCATAAATTTCATCTCTTTTAGGAGAAAGGAAAATGAACTTAGATGGCAGATCTAAAATTATGATGGATTTAAAAAGAACAGAATGATTGAATTAATCTTAGAGACCTGATCACCCCTCTGAACCACAGGTGACCTGAGTTCAAAGGGTCCACAGTCTGAAGGTCCACACTGACCCCAGACCCAGGAAAGTTGCTAGGTGACTTTGCAAAAGAGAAACAAACAGAACCCCTTTTTCAATTGAGAAGAAAATTAATGGCAAAAGAGGTGTTTAGGGACCTAACAAACCTGAAGTGTTTTTCATTTCTTTTTTGGGTATTTTTAACAGCATTAACACTTATAAGTAGTAAAAATAATTACAGTGTTAGGGTTTTGAGACTTACAGAAGAAAACTTACAAAAAATGTCCAGTAGAAAGGATCCAGTAACTCTAAGTATAGGCTGAGGAATAGGAAATGTTGAAGAGCATAAAAACAATTAGAATTTAAAGTCCTAGGTTCAGAACTCCAAACGCTTCTTTAAAAAAAAAAAAGTGGTATCCCTTTAAGAGCCATTTGGTTCAATTGGTAGCCTAATTCATGCCACCAGCCACCTCTGATTTCAGTAAGGAATTTAGAAATTCATAGGAAACTATAAAATGGGGACAGGGTTTTAGTTTTTCAAATTGAGGCTTTAACTGGCCAAGTCCTGCAGGTTTAAGAAACCGCAGAGCTGAGCTGTGGGAAGCTGGTTTCTTTTCCGGTCAGAACAAATAAACATACAAACATACCTAACTCACAAAGTGTTGGGAGAGATAAGCCAATGCTCTTTGCAGAGGAGGAAAACAAAAAATGAGCCTTGTGGGCAACAGGAGGAAAGCCACGCTCGCCAGCAGGCAGCACCCTACACTGGCAGGGGGAGAAATCGGAGCCTCAGCAGCCCCGGGCAGGATTTGCACGAAGTCTCCCGTTTCAAGTTGCAGGTCTCCGGAGTCCCGGGGAAGGCGCCCCAGCCCACATTTGCCTCTCAGAGCCCCGACGATTGATAGAAACCCTTGGTATCACCCGCAGGACACGAAGGTGAGTCAGCCCAGGGACAAGGTCAGACCCCGCAGGGCTACTTGACACCAGGTCACCGAAGGGACGCCGTGCCCACTCCTGCCCTGGCACTCACCTCATTTTCCTGCTTTGAGTGCTCCTTGCTGCCTGGCCCTGGTTCCCCCGACCTGAGCTGTCTGTGAGCTCGTCCCCGATGTGTCAGCGATGCCTTATCTTTGTTCTGAGGTCCCTGTGTGTCTCTGGAATTGGCTGGCATTCTCCATTCAGGTCACGCCTTCCCCTGCCTGCAACAGATCCCCTCTCCCCCTCTCTCACTCTGCCTTTCTCTCTCTCCTCTCTCTCTCTCTCTCTCTCTCTCTCTCTCTCTCTCTCTCTCTCTCTGTCTCTCTCTCTGCTCTGACTCCCTCTTACACACACTCCGAAGAACCTGACAGAACAGAATCTGTCTTCCTTGAGAGATCTGTTCCTCCAGTTCCCTCCTTTATCCTGTGTGGCTGGCTCCAGTCCCTGAGAGAAAATAACTGAGACACTCACATAGGTATTTTTGTCACTGTGTGTGTGTGTGTGTGTGTGTGTGTGTGTGTGTGTGTGTGTGGAGGGTGGAGGGGGACAAAGTCTAATTTCTCTTCAGTCTCCCTTTCCAGATGGCTATAGCTTTCTGCTCTTTTTCAGGACACCGCAAAAAGGCAAAAGGACACCAATTAAACAGAAATAACCAACTGAGGAGGCACTTCTAAAGTCTACACTGGGAAAGAAAACAGACCCCAATCCCCAAGTCTGTGGACAAACACCACAAGTTTTCATGTGAGCAGAGTCCAGAATGTGAGTGAGCGCAGGTCCTCCACCGGGCTCCTTGCTCTTCCCACTTAAACACAGAGCTCGTGCTGTTTACCAAGTCAGACTGTGTGAGGTCTGCTACAGCCAGAGAGGGTCCTCCACAGCACGGATGCCCCACACCCCGGGGTGCAGGGAGAGCCAGGCCTGTCCGAGGGTCTACATGCAGGTTTGTGGGAAAATCAACAGCACATCTGCGCTGAGCTGAATAATAAGAAAATCACTCCCCTCACGGTAATAACAATCAAATGGGTGTAAAAACTAGATTGTACTGAACAGCTGTTCTACATTAGGCACAGAGAGATACGTAAATGTCATCTCAATTACTCCCACAAACTTGTGAGGGTTATACCATCTTGCTCATTTTAAAAATGAGGAAACTGAGGCTCAGAGAGTTTACATGACAAGATTACTCAGCTCCTTGTTACTCCTTACTACTGCTTCCACTAATAGTTAACATTTATTAAGCACTACACATCAGGTACTATTCTGGCAATATGTTAATTCTATCTGATCATCTTTATATTTCATATAGGTGGGTAGTAATAGTGTCCCCATTTTATAGATAATGAAATTGCTCAGAGAGGTTAAGTAACTCACACAAGGTCACACAGCTAGAAAACAATGAGGGAAAAATCTGAGCTCTGACTGATTATATTGTACTGCTTCTCATTATTACAATGCAGAGAGCATTTCCAGTTCTTACAACATCCACAGAAAACCTCAGTTGAAGGCATTTTGAAAACGGAGTTAGACTCAGAGTGAGAATTTAGTTGTGATCTATCCTTTCTCTCTCTGCCAGCTGTGCACTTTAGGCCCAATGCTAACATCTTTAATTCTGGTTTTTTTTTTATCTAGAAAATGGGGGCTGCTACGGGGCTTAAGTGAGATTATACTTGTAACATGCTTTTCTAGCTGTCCAGGGGTGTGCCCGAGAAATGGCTACCACCTGTTCTAACCAAGATTTCACATGAATGTACTCTCCACCTTGCTTTAGACATTTTAGACAACAGTTGCTTGAATCTGGCTGAAATCCTCCTTGCTCCATTTTCTCTCCAGTTTCTCTATTTTAACACATTCAAATGCCAGCATTGCCAACCCTGGCATTATTAAGAGACTGTGGTTGATAATGTGGGCACAAGTACATGGGATGAGAGAATAGGTTTGTTCTTAGGCACTGTTTCAACGGAATGTTGCTTTTGTGTTTCAGGCAGAATAGAAAAAAAACATTTAAAAGTCCCATTAAGAAGACCCACAAGCTCCTTAGACATCAAATAACTTTCACAAAACAACATTTTAATGATTTAAGTGTAAATGAATCAGAAACACATGGACTACATTTCTCTTGGAATACACAAGGGTTTAAAAGCTGAAGGAGAAATAACTTGGCGCAAGGCACACTGCACTGTGCAGAGGGCTCTGCCCATGAAAGACATTCCCCCATTCACCCTGCAGCTCAGCTGGCCTCTCCTAATCTAGGGCACATACTGGGAAATGCAGTCATGTACTTGGGGCAGAGGGGGAAGAGCTTGGGAGGGAAAGCCATCAGCTTCTCCTTGTAAAGTGTCATAGAGCAATTGGGGCTCCTGGAATAATTCCCTGGCCATGTTTTTTCAAGGCTGCCAATGTTCAATGGGAGGCATTTGAAATATGTTCTAAGCCGAAGTTCTGCCAATATACAGCAGACCTGATACGTGCTTTTTTGGGCGACAGCCAAGGCTGTGATGGAATCTGCATGAAAACAAGAACGATGTGGCTCGGGGACATTTCCCATTGGGTTGGACTACATTAGTGATACTGTCCTGTGGCCTTGATAAAAACTCCCTGTGGCGTCATTAACAGATGCAGGAGTGGGGGGAATGGAAGCGCAGTGGTCTGAACACAGGCTCAATATCGGTAGGCTTATTTGAAGGAAACCTTGGGCAGGTCACCTAGGTTCTCAATGCGGGAAGGGGGAGGAGAGGCATCACTGTGCTCCACTGTGAAATCGGGATTGAACTCTGTTGAAATTATGAACGCATATAAATGTGGGCTGGAGGACTGTGGAAGGCTAGCGCAGTGAAGGTGGCCAGGTGGATTGCTAATGACCTACAAAGCAATCAAAGTATCCAGAGTGGCCCTCTAATCTTGACACTGGCTTTAACTCTTGTCATAATAGCATCCCATTAATTAGCATTCAAGTGCTGGTATTCAAAACAATACTTTTTAAGAATATTTAAGAATATTTTTTAAAGTTTCACCAAGAAGTTTAAAATATGCATAGAAGTGACTAAGGGTAACCAACAGTATGTCATTTCGGATCATAAAAGCATAGAATGGGAGATGTGGGCTCAACACCCTCAGGTTATAGTCAAGGGGAGGGATCAGAAAACTACTATAAGGAGAGGCAACACCACAGCATTTCTACTACTAGAAAAGACTTAGTTTACATGTTCTGCTGAAGTATTTATTAAATGTATCTCCCAAGACTGGACCTTCTGGAATTCCGTGAATGTGTTAGAAAATGTAAGGAATCTGGGCAATGGGTTTTTGTTGGCAAAGCCTGAAATCCAAGCTTTCTATAGAATATACAAGAAACTGATAAATAGCCCCAAAGATCACAGCATAGAATTAAAATTTAGGTTGTTCAACATATTGACTGACCTATGCTGAAAGCCATTGCTTCAGAGCCTATCAGATTGTCTGAATCATCTGGGGAATTTAAAAATACCAACTCCTGAACTTCATCCCAGATTCATGTTTAGGAGTCTGAGGTGGGGCTCCTAAGTCTGTAATTTAAAAAACTTCCATGACTCCCATGGCACAATCTTGCCATTTTGGGTACATATAACATAAATGGTGCATCTTATAAGTGCTGGGATTTTGGATTTAATGAAATATCCTTAGTATGTGCCAGGTACTTCCATATACCTTATTACAAGTAATTTTCCCATCTCTTTACAGATCATGACACTGAGGTTCAGAGAGACTGTGTCAGCAAGAGGGTGACCAATATTTAGAGCCCAGTCTTCCTGAACCCAAATTAAAGACACTTTCCTCTCATCTGCAAATTCCTGATCCTCTCTGTGAACTTTGAACATTCCTGAGCCAAGTTACATGACCACAAGTTTTCAGGGAAGAAAAAAATAGGTTTTATTAAACAAATAAGCTCTTAGACTCTTTTATAGGCTGAATTGTATTCCTCCAAAATTCATGTGTTGAGGCCCTAACTCCCTGTACCTTGGAATATGACTAATTCGAAAGAGGGTCTTTAAAGAGATGATTAAGTTAAAGCAGGGCTGTTAGTGTGGGACCTAATCTAATCTAACTGGTGTCCTTATAATAAGGGGGAGATGAGGACACAGATAACACAGGAAAACAAAAACATGTGAGGAGATAGCAGGAAGGCAGCCATCTGTGAGCCAAAGAGAGATGCCTCAAAAGAACACCTTGATCTTGAACTTCTAGTCTCCAAAACTGTGAGAAAGTAAATTTCTGCTGTGTAAACTGCCCAATCTGCAGTATTTTGTTATGGCAGCTTTAGCAAACCAACACAGGCTCTCTCACAGAAGGGTCTCCCAAAGCATGCAAGACATACCACTAGTAGTGTCAAGCTTATTTGGGGTGCCATATACGAGGAATTAATAAACAGATCAGTTAAGATTCAGTTTGGTAAGTAATAAGAGAAACTTTGACTAATGCTGAAATAGATAGAATTTGTTGTCTTTACATAGCAAGAAGTGAGGAGGAAGGTAGTTCTGGGGCAGATATTCAACATTGTTTTCTTTCTTTCTGCTCTGCCAGGCTTAGAATTTGGGCTTTTACGGTCATGCTTGTCACCTTATGCTTTCAAAATAGCTGCAGTAACTCCAGATGTCATGCAGGTGTCTAAGGATTAAAAAAAAGGAAGAGGAAAAGGTAGCATTGGGATACTTTTCTTTATGTCTTACAGGCCATAGCTAAATTCTACAGCCACTGCTAACTTCAAGAGTTTGATAGTTTGTATTATCAGAGGCAGGCAGTAAAGACAAGGGGTGGAATGGGAATTGTACGGGTCAACTCTCAATGTACATCTCCATCATATGCCAAAAAAGTCCTGCCTTTTAAACTTCTCCTTCACTCCTGATGAAGAAAGTCTCAAGGTGGTGCATTATGCCATGGCTGCTATTTTCCTTTTTGCCCGGGGGAGGCAGGTGTCAGTTTCAGAGTCTTGTGGAGGCTAGAATTCACCACTTTTTTTATTCATTATTTTTATATTTGTGACAGTACTGTGTTTTCAAGTATGTGGATTTTAGTTAAAAAATAAATCCAAATTCAGTTTAAATTTAAAAAATTAAAAATAATAACATAGGTGGCATTTATGTATATGAAACAAATTGTGAAGACAAATGACTATGTGTTGGAAGCGTCAGCCTAGAGGGGGGACTCCTGAGGGAAGAGGACTGGCCAGTGAGTCCAGGTGCCAGGAATGGAGGCCACATTTTGCTCCAACCCAGTGTGAAGCCTTGAGCTTTTCCTCTGTCCTCCTGAGTTTTGAGTTTCTAATTCACACTGATAATGTTAGACTAGGTGTTTTGTTTTATTTTTTTAAGTACATCCCTACTCAAACACTTTATGGCATCTCTGTCTCAGTGTGTGGAATGATATCTATTGTACTACTATTAAGACCAGATGAAAGCTTAGAAGATCCTAAAGTAGTTTTTAAAAAGAGGATGACCTCTAAGACAAAACAGGAAAAGGTATCCCAAGAAGAATGCTTCTCTGTTATGACTCATTTTATTCTCAAAATAGCCAGTAGATGCCATAAATTATCATCTCTATTTTGTATGCATGATTAATAATATTGAGAAGAGGTAATTTAGTCCCTGAGGAGAGATATACATTGTCCAGGTTGCATAGAAATTATATGGTGAGGCTGAGACCATGAACTCAGATTTCCATAGCCCTCACCCTTTTTTTTTCATTTTTTAAAATTTTGTTTTTATTGGTGTTCAATTACAGTTGTTCTC